CGCCATACCGGATCAGCTCGGCATTTTTGTTGCCAGCCAGTAGGTTCATGAGCAAACTGTTGGACGTGCGCTGTCCAGTTTGTAGCAACGGCCTTGCAGCCTCCATCACGCCCCATTTGTGCCATGTGCTGCCGCCATTGCTGCACACTGGGCCTGCAACTCTTCGGCCTATCGAACCTGCGTTGTTTGGGACCCACACGCCTGCCTGACAGCGCTCGGGCAGCTCGCCACATGGACTGGAAGTTGGCACTCTGCCAACCTTCGTGAAGCTGGTGCACATGTTCACAGGCACGTTTTCTCTTATCTCTTGTTGTGAGTCGTTTAGCGAGCCGCTGAGCCTTGTGATACCGCGCCAAAGCATGCCATCTGCACAGCAAATCTGATAGCGCTTGTAATGACACAGTATCTCGGTCAGCTCCTTGGCTCCAGAAACGACGCGGGCGAGGAAGCCGTTGGATTTGTAGTTTGCATTCATGCTGGTGCTCCAGAGCGGCTGCTGTGTCAACTTTCCGCTCTTGGAGTTTGACTGGGCGAGACTGATATAACTCTCTGCCAACGGACAACACCACATCACGTAGCATGGTCCAGGCATCATCTGGCGTGCTTGCCGACTGGGCATGCTGCCATTGGGAACTCTCCAAGAGGTCTTTGCACCGGGACTCAACCTCTGCCACCAGTTGCTCTCGACAGTGTCCTCGAAGAACGCCTCGCATGAGTCCGTCCATATCCCAGCGTGTCGGGGACTGTTGCTGCATGGTGAGTGTCGGCTGCAGCCCCAACGAATGGTCGAGCTTGATCTGTAGAGGCCTGTGATCTCGGCGGCCTGGAGCCGCCACCAGCTGCAGATCGTCGCCTGTGTGATGCCACACAGAGCAATGCTGGACTTGAGATAACATGCTGGATGGAATGCATATGAAATCCACGCGGGACGTATAATCTGCAACGATTCCGAAATAGGTTGGTCCAACATTGTGATAAGTGTTGGTAGCTGCGAGGTAATGCCTCTGCAAGAACTGGCGGAACTGTTCTCCGTTCCAATTCTCGTTGTCTGCATTGCACGGGCCGATGGACTCATCTTGCGTGGTCGTCCATATGTTGTTTGCCACATGTTCCTTACCAACACGCGCGTTGAAGTCGCCAAGCAAGCAGGGCACACATCGTGCCGGCAGAGCACTGACAACACTATCAACCCATTTCCAAAGTGCAGTGTTGACGCGTTTCGAATACGGCAGATTGGAGTTGGGATGGAAGTAGCACACGATGAATGCAAAGTCGGAGTCACGTCGTTTGACCCGCAGTGCCCCACCACGACCTTGCAACTCGCTGGGCGGGGACGAAATCTGTACCACGTTATCAGCTGCGAAGCGGCTGCGTTTGAGGCATAGCTGAACTCCAGCATGAGAGTTGGTGAGCCTCCCTGTTCCGTATCCCCAACTATACACAGCATGCGTTTCAACTCTACGCTGACTGACTGCGATGTCGCCATCTGGCAGACGGGTGCCGGACAGTGCGATGACATCATTGCTGTGTAATGCATGTATGACTCGGCGCTCTCTGTCAGCTCGTTTGAGAGATTGTGGATTGTAAGCGATGAATTTCCATCTGACCATTCTGAAATCAGCAGCAGGAAAACACTGATGAGGGGGCCAGCGCGAAAGTGACCCGTCATTATCAAATGAGCAGAGTGCCACACGGACTTACCATGGCATGATTCCGCATGACTTTGGACTTGCGCCACGCGGCTCAACCCACCCACAAGCGGACAACACTGTGACACGCCCAACCCACCCACAAGCGGACAACACCGTGACACGCCCAACCCACCCACAAGCGGACAACACTATGACACGCCCAACCCACCCACAAGCGGACAACACCGTGACACGCCCAACCCACCCACAAGCGGACAACACCGTGACACGCCCAACCCACCCACGAGCGGACAACACCGTGACATGCCCTACCCACGCGCAAGCGGACAACACCGTGACACGCCCAACCCACCCACAGGCGGACAACACCGTAACACGCCCAACACACTCACAAGCGGACGCCAACCCACCCACAAGCGGACGGCGCCGTGACACGCCCAACCCACCCACAGGCGGACAACACCGTGACACGCCCAACCCACCCCTCGCCAGGATGACCCCTCCGCAGGAAATATTCTCATGGAAGGCCGACAATACGTTCTAATTGGGCGCTGAACCTAAACATTCCTCATTCGGTGAGCGGTTAATGATTTATCTGTTCCAATTTTGAACGTCTCACGTTCGACGAGATATTTTCGATTCTTTATTTTCTTGTTTGCCTTCGTTTGGACGCTGAATCCCGCCGGGAATTAGGGGTTGATGGTAGGCTTTTTAATGCACACCGCCGGGACTCGGCTTCCTGCGTCTTTCCCTTTGTGTTTTCTATCGAAAGTATCTCTTGTAGATATCTTAGAGGAATGTGATGACTCCTCATACCTCCTAGCATTATGTCTCCTTTCTTAATTGGCGCTTTTGGGATTACTATCAAGAATATTCAGATCAATAAAATCCAATTCGTGATTTACCAATACCATCGTATAAATACTACCAAACTCCATAAAAGATTAGAGTTCCGGGGCCAGGTTGCGTTAGAGTAAAGTCTGGCTATCATAAAACGAGAACGTGGTACGAAAAAGTGCAAAACCACAAGTTATTTTCGCCGGTTTGATTTTGAGGCTCTTTCGTGAAAGTTTAGGCGTACATCTGTTTGGTCCAGGCCCTTGCCCTTCCTTCTAGGGGGGCGGGGGGGGCGAGTTTGGAACTGAAGGTTAAGACAGGTTTAGGTAGAGGACTTACTTACATTGTCATTAAGGGATTTAGTTTTGAGGGGAGCTTCAAGGCCTAGCGCAGAACACACAAGCGTTGGCCATAGCACTGGCTCCAGCCGATCCAAGCAAAAATAACGCCGCAATGCGCAGGGCATAAAAGGAGGACCTGGCATGGATGCTCGAGCATGAATACAACTGCATACCATGTTTTGACGTGGTGGGCACGCAATCACCCCCCCCTCCCCCAACCCCCCCCCCCCCCAATTTTTCAGAAAGCGACATACCCCCCACGGCAGCAGCCCCCAGCACATTTTTCCAAAAAAAAGTGCCTTCCAGGGCGCGTTGAGACAGAGCATCAAAAAACGGGAAAACACCGAAACGGACCTCGTGGAAAAAACGGGCCTGGCAAAAAACAGCAACAACACCGTAACCGTCAGGCAAAAACCCACACATCCAGGCACGGTCGTCACAGAAGGCAAGAAGAAGCACGGGTCCGGAGGCGCCGAAAACCTGTAAATACATTAAATACCATGGTTTTCGCGCGACCCCCCCCCCCCTCCCCCAAGCCCCCCCCGCCCCCCATTTTTCAGAAATCGACATACCCTCCACGGCGGCGTAAAGCGCGCAGCCCACCAACTACACAAGCGCGCAACAGTCTTTCCAACTCCGGCATTTGTGCTCATACGGCATTGCTGAGAGAACTTCTGGTTAGACCGGCAAGGAGACATGTAAACGCCAAGGCGTTTGCCTGGCTTGCAGGCCATCTAGCAAGTCTGCAGGTCATTGTCCATGTAGAGAACAGCACAAAGAATAGACAGACTTGTCCATCGACCCTGCCGGGGAGCTTCTGAGAGTCCAAGTGTTGTGGGCCCCATGACGAGATTGCAAGTCATCCTTCAACTCACACTGTCCACCGCCCGTTGGCAAACGGACTTGTTGCCACGCAAAGATCCATCAGCAAAGCCAAACACCACGGGCTGCAGCTTCGAGCTCAAGCCTCATCTCAAAAACGCGGTGTGCATCTCGCTAACAGGAGCCCAAGCTCTGGATCTTGTTCAATGCGATCGCCCAGCAAACCTCGTTGCCACGCAAGTACCAAATTGCGTCACCATTTGATACAATTTTGGAGCGATGGCAGCGCATCCACGACCCCAATGAAGCCAGCAGGTTGTGAAGGTTCTCCTGACTCTCGAAACTGCACTCACACGCTGTCAAAACTCCTTGTGCCCTTAATCCCTTCCCCCCAAAAGCCCTCCCCCCCATAGAAATTCGAAGTGTGGTTTTATTGTAAGGGGAATCTTTATCTAAGTTTCATTTTGTGGGGTAGGGTTTCGGGAGTTTAGGTTTTGAGGTTTAAGGTTTTAGGGTTTGGCTTGAAGGTTTTTGGAGCCCCGACATCCACCCCTAATCAGGAACAGGTGTTAAAAGAGGGGATGATTTCGAGAGGAATTTCTGGAAAGTGATTTTAATACTGGGGGTGGGGTCTTTAATAAAAGCCCAGTTATCTGAACCTCACCGCGACAAAGAAGCGCGTCTATGTCCATAACGGGCAAGAGCAACTTGGCCAGCCAGCAACGTGCCAGGGCAGCGCCCACTTGAACATGAAGCTCGTCTCCGTGGGCCTCACGTCATGTCGCGTCATTCGAAATGGATCGCCACACCACAAGACAACATTTCACCATTGACCTCATGCCAGGCAGCGGTGCGCCAAAATCACAACACTCACCAATAGCAGGTTCAGGGCCTCGGCACAGCTTGGCATGTTCGAAAGGCTGCGATAGGAGGCTGCGATCTTCAAAATTCAGATGCGGACGCCGGAGTGGGACGCTTGGGCTGTGGTCCATCAAAGGGATCGCGTCCTACGCAGGCTGAGGAAAGGCAAAGCCCAATGAGGAACGTTCGGAGTGTCTCATCCTGATCACGCTCATAGATGTCCCCTGGAGCAATCGGACCAGTCAACCTGTGACATTGCAAGAATCAGCGCACGTTTACCGGGGTCTTGCAGATAGCCCTACCATGGACCTTCCGAGTGAGGGCATCACAGCCACTGGCTGGGCGCCGTCACCTGCAGATTTCAAGTCCTGCCCAAACAGACATCAAGTGCTGTTCAAGTTTCAAACGTTAGCTGTCTCCTGAGTCTTAACACCGTGAGTGAAGGCATCACGCAGTTTAGGAACGGGTCGATTCCTTCCCACCTGCTTCACAAAGACGCGCAGAACTCTGCATGCTTCAATTGCAGCACCACTTTCATTTGGTCCTTGTCTGCATGTCCAACATCATCTGCCTCGGTCTAGCAGCTTGATGGCTGGGGTGAGTTGCTGCTTGCCGTCCAATAATCACTACAATCTAGGGCAATGGCAGTCCGGCTTTTGCCGGAATCTTTCGGAGGCCACGTAAAGGGCAGCGCAGGATTGGAGCGACGATTGCTCAGCAACACCGGGCCCTCCTGCGGATTCGGAACTTGAGCTTTCGAAACCCTTTCAAATTGTAGGGAGCCCCCTGCGACTCTAATTCAACATTCCCCAATTTCTGAGGTGAAGCAGAAAATCAAGAGAACACAGGAAAGGTATGGGTATCATGGCGTAACCTTTGCATCAGGTTGCAGAATCACTGCGGCTTTTGTGAAAGAAACAGACCTTTCGTTTGCATCATGCCCTCACGGTCCTGCTTCAGATGATCCACATTGCTCTGCTGGGCGCATGTACCCATCATCACCTGTGCTTAGGAAACCAGAGTGAGTCGCAGTGTTTATATGGTGACAACGCGAAAGCAAGGATTTGAGATACTCGGCCTCGCAGCTGCTTCCGCCTGAACATAGAACAAGAACAAGTATGATGGCAATGGCTGGACAAGGTACGCACATGCAAGCTTCACGTACGCATGCTTTTTCGGCCCTGTCACAGCGCCTAGCTGGGAACGGATTCTAGAGGAAACCGTTGTACCACCAACCCTAAAACCCCAAACCCTAGACCCTTGAACTCTACAGACGGGACAGGATGTGCTCCCCGGTGAAACAGAGAGACGTCCTCTGGGAAGAAACGGCTTGGCTCACGCAGCCCGGCCGAAACGGCACCATTGGACAAAGACTCAGTGTTTCGGAAAGTTTTCAAGCTCCGAGGGTTTGCGCTGCGAGGCTTTGGAGTAGGGCGGGTAATCATGATTTTACTTGAGGGGACATGCTCGCAAGCATTCAGCGCAATGAGGAGGCCCTAAAAAATGTCAGGCCGCAGTGAGTGGTTTCTTGAAGCAAGTACGGGCAGACCTGACGCTTATCCATCTCAATGCGGCTATGACATTCACATGGTAGTTGGGCCAGTCCATCACGATGCCCCAGCTCGTTGCAGCCGGCGCTCTCTGGAGGACTGAGCCTCGGGGTCCAAGAAATTGAACTCATTTAAGAGGGAGCTTCATTGGTTCCATGGTGCGACCATGAAGTCAAGCATGCGGTACACCTGCGCATCCCTTGTGCGAAGTTATGTTCTTCGTTGGATCTTGAAGGGGCGCACAGCTTGGCATTGAAGTCAATCAAACATCCAACTGAGTCTTTGGGGGATCTGTTGACACAAGAAAGGGGAGACCAGCGACTGATGCTTGCGAGGGCTTCTGAGCTTCAAACGTACCCGTCCAAAAAGAGTTTTGGATGCTCCTTGAAAACTGAGTCAGCATGGGTAACACCAGGCCAAGGTGATGGCGAATCAGCGTGGCGTTTGGCGTGTCGGCAGCTCTTGAAACCCGTCTAAACGCGGCACGCGCGTCTGGCAGTGCGCGCGCTGCACCGGGGAGGCCCTTGAAGATCCAAACGCGGCAGGCAGCGTGCACGCTGCGTGGGGGAGGCCCTCCACAGCAAAGGTGTTTAAGACTCATTGTTCTTTTTTCTTGGTACGCTGTTGACGTGTCCCCCTGCGGAAAGACTGAATGCAACGACTTTGCCGGGACCCCAGTCGTGGCGCATGTCTCCTCAGGGTTTTGAACGCAAAAAATAGAAATACGCTAGGACTTGAGCCACTAGCAGTCATGCTGTCCAATTCCAACGATCACTAAAAATAGAGCTCAATTAGGGCATTCTCAGTCGCCAACAGTACGTAGCGCGCCCCAGACGTCTTGGATGCAAGCGCAGCAAACCTTGTGAACGTGACACAGGGAGGCAACGCACATGCCCAGCAGCATTTGGAAAAACCTGAGCCGGGGGCCGTCTCGCCAGATTTATTAGAGGTCCTCATGTTGGCCTCAATCTGGTTGGCCTCAGCAAACGGTGCCAGACACGTGTCAAGTCTTCTGCATGGGCCGGCTGCTCGACTGCAACAGGGCACCCCGCCTGCGCGAACAGCTCCATAGCCCGCCGCCGCAGCCTGAACGCACGGCGTGACCACGCACGACGTGACCACGCACGACAACGATGTGGCAATCGCAGATTTGGGCGCCGGCTGCTTGAGGTCATCATCATCCAATGACTGCGGCAAATGTCACCCAGCAACACCGCAACAACTAAGACAACGCCTTTTGCAACATGACATCTGCCTCTGACGCGTCGATCATAGCCTTGGCCATGTCTCGAAGTTTTTGAACCTGGGACGAAGAAACACAAAGCAAGAGGTTCACATCACTCAATAAACACTTTGCCGTGACCTGCGAGAAAGTGCGATGGTTTGAATCTCACAATCACGAAGCCTGTGCCAGTTTTCTAGTGCTCGGACTTGGCGTCAGCGTCCGGATGGATGGCTCCTTTGGAGCGCTATCATGTCGCAGTTGCAACTACGCAGATGCGCCGCCTTGCCCTCAGCACAGTCCTGAGAACTGTGGGAAGTTTGGGACGCCTGCCCACGAGGGCTGAGTGTTGCCTGAAGCTGCAAAACGTAGGTCAATGTGTGCTTTGTCGTTCGAGGTTGATGGCTTGCGCAAGGATAACCAAAAAACAACCAACGGGAGACAGCTGTCACAGGAATCGTGCTCATGAGGCTTTACTTATGAGGCTGCGAACATGTGAGCTCTGCTGGCATCATGTCCTCTTTTATGTAGCCTTGTTGCTGCTGATCTTCTTGTCTTGCTTCATCTCCGTGTATTGTTCTGAATTCTGCATCCTGTATGGATCCCTACCCCATTGGTCATTCTCTTGGGCCAACTTCGAAACTGCCATATCCCAAGAAACTAATCTCAGCTGAATCAGCGGGCCTTTGAGCTGGTAGGGGTGGCGACTAGCGTGGCCTGACGGCACATGAACAGGCTCACTACCCATCCGGACTCAAGAGGCTCGGGCAACTACTCATAGGCCAAGCCCTTGCCTCCGAAGACGTCTCCTGAATCACAAAGCAGCGCAAGACCAATCGCCTAGGCCTTGAAATTTCATCGCTGAACTACGACGTGAACTGCGTGATGCATGGGCCGCATCCCATTGGAGGCCAAACTAGGCCACCATCATAAGATCCGAACACCAAAAGCATCCGCTCAGAGCAATATGGAACGCGATTATGGGGGGAAGTTATCCCATTCACCTTGCTTTCGTGCGCGCGCTCAGAAATAAAAGGCCTACAGGTGCACGTGATGCGCGTGCTTCATCAGCATGGCGAGGAGCCTTCCGTCCGCGCACAACAAATCATTCACAAAAAGCTTGTGCGAGAGAAGCGGCAGAGCCAGCTAACGCTTCAAGACGATATGCCGCGATGTGGAGACCAAACCTGAACCGCCTGAGCCTTCTGTTTCTTTGTCTTCGCGAATTTCGTGCTTTGTGATTGTCGACGTTTGGAACAGGAACCATCATGGCTCCCAACTTCCGATCGGTTTACCAGGTACTACTTACCCATTTCTCAGTCTTGTGGCACTCTTGTGGCCTCGAGCCAATTCACATCCTGTGGAGCTGTCAGCCGCCCTGCTTTCCATTGGCCAGGCTGTCAGATATGTGGATATCGACATCTGGACTCAAACATTTATTGAAACGTCCAGCTTCTTGCTACAGTACGAGCACAGTAAGAACGGAGGTCCTCTGCCGTCGCCATGCTCTTTGCGAATCTTCCAGGGCTTGGGATGCAGCTTGAGCAAAACTTGGCGGGAAACAATGTTAAGCACAACAAACTTGCGGCAGCAACATCAGACCATCAGCCCGGGCTGAGGCTACACAGCGCGACCGGCAGGACACGAAATCAGGCGCCTTGGTCTTTGGACAATGCATCAGGAAGCCCTCCGCCGATGGAGAGTGTGGAAGGATCCTGCAGTAAATGGTCACTCAAAATAACTTCCAGGCCTGCATTGTGAGTTAATAGCTTTGCTGAAGACAAGAATTGTAGGCCCAAAAGCAAACAACACATCCAAATCATGGCTCGGGCGAGGCCTTCACGTTGCGGCTGTGGCGCCGGCCTGCAGCTTGCCGCACCTGCCACACAGCATTCTGGGCTTCCGTACATATCCAGTTGGAGCGCACTCCCCACCACCTGGGACTTTGCAGAATGTTCGCTTTGACGACTGTACACAAAAAAACTTGCCTGGCCGTCAAGTATACACAACAAACTAGCTGTTTGCCTTCTTGGCTCTTTTGATCGATGCCAGCTTCGGTTCCCTCGCCTGACAGCTTCGAACCAACTGCAGTCTTAGCAAGAATCATAAGTAAGCAGACAAATGTTCGTAGTAACAATATGATACGAACACTAGTGATGCACAGAATCTGGTAGACCTGGTAGATGGCTGCCATTTCAACTGGCCTGGAGGCTTTTGATTGTCTCGGCCGCCGTGCAGGCATGGTGAAGGTCCTTCAAATGCACCGGGTCCTGACGACGAAGCAGAACACCCTGATAACTGGTTGTCTTCGCTTTTGTAGCCAGCCCAACTGTTGCGAATACGTCCCAACATCACTTATACTACGAGTATGGCTGCTTCTGCTGCGATTGCTGCATTGGTGCATTGCTGCCCAGCCTCTTCTCCGCAGATGCAGCGGGGCCCCCGTAACGCAGCCGCAGCACTACAGAGCCACGGCGGGACATGGCCCGCACCAAGCGCCATGGACAGCACATCCTGCTTCCGACTCACGTTGCCCTAGATCCACTCAATGCATCCTGAAAAACTGAGCCTGATGATATACCAAATGCTGCCAGAAGACACAGAAGTGACAACAGTTCCGACGAATCAAGTCATACCCGCTCATTTTCCAATCCGATGCCAGGTAGTTCACTAGCCTCAGGACGTCTCTGCTGCTTGGAGGCATGTGAGAGCAAAACATGCTTCAACTACTTTTAGGCCAGGCACATGTCCACATCATCATGAGAGAAACAAGTCTCCCCCAGCACAAGGGACTCCTTGTATGCGTGGCCAGACGGAGAATCGCAACCTCACGCGTGCTGCCAGGAGAACTCGTATCCCAACACGGCACGTTGACAGCTACCCGCGCCTTGAGGGGCGCAGTCAAAGATGCCTGACACCTCTGCCTCTTCCCCACTGGCAGAACTTCTGAAGCTCCACTCTTTGCCATGTACTTCCAATCCTTGTGTAATCATCCTACAGCTTTCCAGCAATTCCGATGCAAGGCACAATGTGCTCAATGCTTCTTGCAAGCGAAAGTCCGACGTGAAAGAAGCCTGTGCCCAGAGCTTTCAGGAACACGTTGGCGCCCCTAAAAGACCGGTGGAGATCCTCATGCGCCGTCAGGGAGCACCACGTCGGAAACAACAGGTGATCAAATGTTCATGTTACAGGCATTGAGGTGTATCGGGAGAAGTTCCTTCCACATGAAGCACATCACGAGCCAATTCTTGCCGAGACTCATAGATGTGGAGAACCACAGGATGAACAGGCATGGCTGAATATTCAAAGGAAACCCCTCCCGCATCCACTTCATAACAACCTGCTGCTCGTACTCTACTTCGGGATTGGTGACAGACAGGTTAGAAGGATTCAGGCCATATCCTGACGGAAATCAACTTGACTGCCATCTAACGCAACTTCGCGAGCTGAAGATGCGCCGTTTGTTTGCAAGTTGCATTTGGTAAACATACATGTGAGAATCATCAAGACATGTTTGAACTCGCGCTTAAAAATTGGAGTGTTTGCAAAATTGCTGTGAATACAAACTTTCCAGGCAATCAATTTCAGACGCGTGAGACAGTAGACGCTAGGGTCAACTCAGCCTAAGGCCCCGTGCCTAAGGCCCCGAGACCACAACTCCAGGTGCAAGTCTTCGGGCAGCTTACACAAGTCTTCGTGTGGAGTTCAGAGAGCCTCTGCAAAAGCTTGGGGGTCCTGAAAAACTTACCATAGCAGCACCTTGACACTGAACATCAGAACGAGAGCACATGGCCAAGCCCCCCAGGAATTGCTTCTCATCGCTGAAGCAGGCGCTGTTGCTCCTGCACAGTTCTTTCCATTTTCCGCGAACTGAACGGCCTGAAATTTGTCTCAGGCAACCAAACAAGACCAAGCGCATCCCGGACTTTTGCTCCGCTGGCACTCCGAAAGCATCGCAATCCAGAATCATTGCGCCAAGCCCTGGCCAGGCCCAAGGCCGATCAGTCTCGGCCCCGCGCCTAGGTCAAGGTAGGCCTTTGTGTAGATTTTTGGATTTAGGCAAAGAAAGCTTGCTGAAGGACATGACTTCCGAGTGGAATCTTGGCCAATGGCTCCTGAAAACAGCAAAACTACGCGGCCTGCGGTGGAGGGGGCGGAACTCGCTTGCGCTTCTCTCGATCTCTGCTCCGATCTCTAGGAGCCAGGGATCGCGAGCGACGGTCCTATGCAAAGGGGCAGTGGACCACAGCATCCAGCGCAACGCAACGACCGAGACACTCGCAGAGTTTCCATGACTCAGACTGGCCCAGGCTGTCCTTCACGGGCTGGCCTGTTAGCGTTTCCAGCCGTCGCTTGGCCGAGTCGAGCTTCTCCTCAAGGCGCGTGTATCGACTCACCTTGCAAAACGTTTGTCTTCTTGGGAATATTTTTGGCTTTCAGGTGTTGTCTCTCGCACCTTGTCCCCGAACACATTCCAAATCGCAAATGGCGCTTCCGCGTGCGTGCCCGTGTCGCTACCCTCTCGGTGTTCCCGCAAACCCGTGTCACTATGTCTTCCGTATTTCAGCGAGTTCCTATCTTTTTCATACGAAACCTCTATTTCATGCATCAAGTATATTCTGTTTTATCCGCCGACCCCAGCTTTGAGCGGGGGAGGCGCTAGTGAAGACTCCATGGCGTCGGCGTAACCCCGCACCTTAAGCTGATTTTAAAAGGCCCCAGTCCGTGCCCCGCCCTTCCCGCCCCTAACCCTCCCACCACCAACCACCCTTCCCAACCATTCCACTCCATCCTCCTCCCCTACCCCTTCCCCACTCGATCAGATGACTGACTTTGACTGACTTTAAAGGGCTCCAGTGCATGCCCGCCCCCTCTTGCTCCGCCCCCTCCTCTCCCCCACCCCCCTTCCCTTCCACCCCCCGACCCCCCCCCCCCCACCCCCCCCCCCCCCCCCCCCCCCCCCCCACCCCCCCCCCCCCACCCCACCCCCCACCCCCCCCCCCCCACCCCCCCCCCCACCCCCCATGACTGACTTTCAAGACTGACTTTGAAGACCTCCAGTGCATGCCCGCCCCCTCCGCTTGCTCCGCCCCTTCCGCTCCCCTTCCTTCCCCCCCCACCCACCCCCCCACCCGCCCCCCCCCCCCCCCCACCCCTCCCCCGCACCCCCCCCCACCCACCCCCCCCCCCCCCCCCCCCCCTCTAAAGACTGACTTTAAAGGGCTCCAGTCCATGCCAGCCCCCTCCGCTTGCCAATCCAATTGGATTCTTCCGGAAATGTTCTCGTTTGTTTGGCGCTTCAACGCGGAAGGCGTTCTATCGGATCGCTTTTTGGCGAAAGAGGCCACGAAGAGGAGACGGTCAACATTTTGACGGGAGGCCACGGAGACGACACGGTCAAGCGAGTTCGGAACATGTTGCTGGGAGAGGGGTGTGGCGTGGGGAGGCGTGGACCATGCCTGGAGGTTGACGGACGGGTTCGGGGAGCACGGATGGGGAGGGTGACATTGGGTTGATGGGCAAGGGAGTGGGGACACGTGGACGGCCCCTCCGCACCCTCCGCGCCCTCCGCGCCCTCCGCGCCCTCCGCGCCCTCCGCGCC